GGTAGAGAGCTAGTCGAGGACCAGGAAAGTGGATTAGGGAGGAGGAGTTACAGTGACGCGGAAGGTAGGGACAGTATGGAGCGGATGCCAAGCTCTAAGCGCCCTGAGAGGGGAAAGAAGCGGAGTCGCCGGGCGGTCGATGGGCAGCACCAGGCTCGTGGCCACCACGCATATGGCCTGACGAGCGATGAGGTCGCGCGATTTGAGGAAAACTTAGGCGAGCACAATGTGGCAATTGGTAACTCGAGTGCTTTGCTCGTCTCCTCTCATCCTGCTCCTTACTCCTCCTGCCCGTTCACCTCCTCCCCCTCCTCCTCCTCGTCTTCCTGTTCCTCTTCCTCCTCCTCGTCTTCTTCCTCTGTGCATGACGTCTCCTCCTCCTCGCTTGAGGATGCCACACCCTCTGACCTGGCATATCGCAATCCAATCGTGCGAAAGCGTGGAGTGTCATGGAAAGAAAAGCGCCAACAAGGGCTTCAAAGCAGGCGAGGCAAGAGAAAGCGGGGGTTGTCCATCCCGACGGCTGAGTCGCGCGTGGAAAGAGGAAGGCACGAGCGGGCCTTCGTGGAGGAAATAACCATCATGGTGTCAAAATTTGTGCTTGAGGACATGCCGGAGCAGTTATTCATTGAGCTGATGGCATTGATGCGGTGAAAGAGAGGCGAGCAGGGAACCATCTTGACGAACTGAGCAAGGGCCATGATACATTGTCCGGAGTTCTGAGTGTGGTTTAAGTAGAAGATGGGCAGCCAACGCTAAAATAGGGTGTCACGCACGATTGCGCTGCTGTTATAACTTGATGTCCTCCGGATGTGGGGAGGAAGCGAAGGGACATGAGATAGACAGATGAACAACCCGCAATCGAGCAACAAAGCTTGGAAACTTGATTTGATAGATGCAGCAGCTTCCACTCTGAGCCGACGAAGTTCCGGGCCTACATTCATGCAGAAACTCTACTAATTTCATACCTCTGTCGTATCCACCGAATAAGATGTTCTTAAAAATAAATCTTCTGTGCGCCTTGACTTGTATAAAGTATGAATGAGAGGGATGCAATGTCAGCCCACGGTTCAAAAGGTGGTGTATTTGTTGCTGGCGATTGTTTTTTTCAAAAGTTCTGTCAAATTTTAAATGTCAGGCTACTGAGAAATATAGATAGTAGATGAAGCCACCACGAGGAGTCAAGTGGGATCAGAACAAGGCGATCCCGCCTGACCTCCTTGGTCCGTCATAGCTTTCGTGTGATCATGTTATGTACATGAACATTAATTTCGTCATCCTACATAGCTATACGAGCTGTACATAATGACATCACATGGCTTTGGACCCTTCAAAGCATTAGTCGTCATCAAGTGGGCTGTAAGCGTGTCTTTCACAAAACATCAAATTAGCGTGTCTTACCGAAATCAACTGCTATCATGTGCCATTTTTCTGTCGCTGCTTCCTTATTTCTTTCAAAATTCTTAGCACCCATTCCAAAAAATAATCCAAAACTGGCCTTCACATCCATTAAATACTTTTAGCGGGGCATTCGCCCCAGTCGCACTTTTGGTAATAAGTCTTGAACCCCCCAGCACGAATAACGGCTCGGGACTACGTCCACTCAAATTTAAACGGTCTTCGCCACGCCGAGGAGACCAAGTGGGACGGGTTCCTTGTCGTGCCAAGCATTTGCCTGAATGAGCCTCCATAGTCATGACAGCATGATCGAATAATTTTTATTTGACGAGTGAGAGGATGGCTCCATTCAGATTTTGAAACGCCGATCGGCGGTAACATTCTTTTGCACTCGATCATTTGACGGCGGGCCACGGCATATCGTTCCATTAATTCACATGCATTTTTTTAATGATCTCACGGTTGATCCAGGGTTGTGATTTGGCAGCGTACAGCAATGACATGGCCTACGACAGAGAATGTGCGCCGTAGGAGCTTGCTTCTCCTGTTAATCGCCTTACTCGCAGCGATGATTGTGAAAGCAAATGATAAAGCAAGACCATTTACCCGCCTTCAGTCAACAACGGGCAATGTTGTGGATACCCATGGACAGCAACTTGACCATAACGAGCAACAAAGGAATCAAGAGACACTTGATGATCGGAACGGAAAGGAAAGACAGCAAGCCAAGAGAAAGAGACGACTGCAGCAAGCAGCAAGCGGTTTTGATCGTGAGTAGTGGAGCTTTAGCTTTGAAGCAGCCTTCCCCTCGGAAAAGTCTTTGCGACTTCGTCAATAACTAGATTGACGATCAGACTACGTGAGGCAAAGCGAAGAGAAGCAGGCACTGCAGAGACGTTCGAGGAGGCATATTCTTGTCTGTGTGGGGTTTCTTTATCTCACATTTCTCCATCTTTATCCTCGGCAGTGCCTTTCTAAGAGTTTTTCTGTTGATGCAAGCCCCTAATAGAAGTTCTGTCGGTTTCTCGTCATATCCCTCATACACACCCACAAGAGCCATTGCGACCCAATGACAAGGTGGCTTTCCTGCAAAAAATAGCGAAAGGCAATGTGGATCCTTTAGAGCTTTTCACCCGGGGGGTGAAAAGCAAAGCTTTTCAGGCCGTATTAAAAAATGTTGAGATCCAACATCGCATTTTGAAAGAGATGCCGCTCCTTGCTGCCTTCGACGGTTTCCGTCAGATTACTGGTCGGCGACTAAGCGCAAGAGAGGTGCGTAGGTCCTTGAAAGGAGAGCAATGACGCATATAAATGGATTGTAGCCGATTATACAACCATTGAATTAGAGAGAAGCATCTGTGCAAATGCCAGGGTGACAATGAAGGTTCTTACTTGGTGTGACATCAAGCCTTCTTGTTTGGTTTCAGCGAAGGGTTTCTCCTATGAAGACGGCAGGAAGCACCACCAAATTCAAGCCTGACATCTCGTAAACACTCATCATGCACCCGATTTCTTGGAAATAGACAATGGAGGGCTTCGCCATCGGGGTGCAGAACGTGATTGATTTTGCCAAAGTTGCTTTCATCAAGGTGAAAGACCCTCAGCAAACAGCCGCAACAATAGCAAAGATGGCTGCAGATCCCAACCCTGCCATTCAAAGCTTGTTTCGCCGGGCCCAGGAGGGGGATCCTGCAGCGGTGGAAGAGCTGCAGGACGTGTTTAATGACCTACACTTTCCAGGTGTTGATATGCGTGTTCTCCGGGAAGTCGGGCGGAACCATACCTTCGAAAAGTTGTTGTCAATGCCAGAAATCATGCGCTTCATCGACCGGAACGAATTCGCGTCAAACTTCTTCCGCTCCGACATCAAAGAAACATTTTTAAAACAGGATCCAAGGATAATTGGAACAAATGCAAATGGAATTCAAATAGACACGGCGGCGACCGTAGGCTCCGACGTTGTGAATGTAGCAGGAGGGACAGCGGAAAAAGCCACAAAGGGTATTGTACCTTGATTTCGCATGCGCTTTATGACAAGTTACAGCCCTCGATCATGGACACGTTAAGAAGTCTGTACTCAAGGAGATAAGATCCAGGAGAAAATATTGAAATAGAAAGGGATAAAGGAAAGCAATCAGACATAAAAAGGATGACCGATAAGACATCAGCAAGGAATCTACCCGGGATTCTTGAAATTGCGAGCGAGTAAAAATCCTTCAAGTGAGTTATACATTTTGTTTTAATCGACGGCCATCTTTGGAAATATTATAGCAGTACTATGCACGCTCATTCCTGTCGACCATGGTCGTCGGCTTTGCTCCTTGTACATAACGCCTACCCAGATACCTGGCCATACCTGGAGTCGCCCAAAACACGACACCTCAGCAAACATTGACTTCCGCTCCAGCATATAAAACATATAATATGAGTTCCAGAAAAGTACCACGCTGCCGCAGGTCATGGCCATGAGGTGTGTAATGCGGGGTAGGTGTCTGGTTAAACAAGTCGGGAGAAATTGGAAGAAACGGTTTTGTTTATCATCGTGTGTGTCACCCAACCTAGGACTTTTTTCGTTAAGAAACTAGACGAAGGTTGCTGAAAGGGGCTGGGTCGCCCGAAAACTGGCCTTCTCGGCACATAAATCGATTATATATGGACTGTAACCATTGAGCGCTCACATGCTCATTCTCAGCACGGCATCACAAATATGAACATAGCATACACGATGCCAACTCACAAGTAACAACACTTGTTCATATCTCACGCGCCCACTGTTACACCTGATAAAAATGAGC